TCCAAATTTTAAGACACATTATTCTTCCTACAATTCCATCTTCACTTATTTTTATTTTAAATCAAAATCAATCTTCTTCATCCCTGTCGACTATTAGGAAAAAAGGGGGGGGGGGGAGAGAAAAGAATGTACATGTTCTACTAGAGTGAAAAGATTTCTCTCTACAAGCATTCCAAAATAAGCAAATACTTTTTGCTACCAATACCAATACCAATACCAATTGTGAGATGCCTATGGGGCATCGCATTTGAAATATCCAACAGGTTCATTTGTGACTGGAACTTAGGAGACTATAATTTAATATACAAATCTAGGAATCATTTGCATAGAGATAATAATTAAATCCATGGGAGCTAATGAGGTCACCAAGTAAGACAGTCCAGAGAAAGAAAATTCAGGACATCGTCTTGGGATATACCTACAGTTAGGGGGTATAATGAATGAGGATCTATTAAAGGAAAACCAAGAAAGAACAGTATTATGAAAACCCAGAGAGTTCTTTGCTTCATACCTAAGCCTTTTTAAGCTAGTCTTTAATAACAGTTCTCATTTGACTGAGGCAACACCCTCAGTGTTCAGTGATTAAGACTGGTCTTTGAAGAGGAGGAGTGGATAAAGATTTAATTCACTGCAAAGAGTTGTCAGGTTTTTTTTTAAACCTTTAACATAGATATTTCCTATAAAACTAGTAGAACATTTAAAACCAGTTCCACCCAGACCAAACGCTCAGAAAGGGCACATGATCCAATTATCTGGGTAAACATGCAAACCCCTTTAGCAGCTCAAAGAGTTCAAATCAATCTTAAAACCACATTCAGGGGTGGGGAACCCGCGGCTTCGAGGTCCAAGTGGCCTCCAAGGTCCTCCTTGGGTGTGGCCCTTTGATTTAATCTAAACTTTACTTGGACTCTGGCAAAAGGCCGCACCCAAGGACCTAGAGGGCCACTCATGGCTCGAGGTCGCTGGCTCCCCACCTCTGAATGATATACTGCCCAGTTGATCTGGCTTTGGGTTAGCCAAATAGTTGCAACAGTAGACATGAACCTAGCTAGGGTAAAATTACAGAAAGTGGGAGGGGGCAGGGGAATAAACATTTCCTACGGAAGTTACCTCCTACTTATGGAAAGAACACGAGTGACCAAAGATATATACAACTCTTAAAAAGGACCTAGGACGCAAAAGGGACGGAAATAATATTTTTTTTAAACGAGGAGATAACGACCACCCCAGGAAATGGAGGGCAGTCCCATGCAGAATTCAGGGAGCAAAAGGGTTGGGGTCCGCCACTAGGAGGGTGCAGGGGGAAGGTGATGCGCTGAGTTCCTCTCCGGGAGATCCCTGGGAATGGGGAAGGAACCCCCCACCCCCATTTCTTCTTTTTGTCACCCCATCCCTCCATCCCCTCCGAATCTGGCAGATTTTTGAAGGAGGGACAGGCGCAGGGAGCTGGAAAGTTAAAGAGCCGGTGTTGAAGAGCCTCCAGGTGGGAGCCGACGGCGCGTCCACACCCGAACCGGACCGGGGCGCCGGGCTTGCTCCCCCGTTGGGGGGGCACCTGGAAGGATGTAACCTTAGGGACTCGGGGGGCGGGGCGAGGGGAACGTGAGACACCGGGACGCTGGGAGAGCAGAGAGGGAGGGGAGAGCGAGGAGACACTCGGGAACCTCGGGAGGGCAAGGAGAAGGGAGGACACCTGGATGGGGAATGGGGCAGGGGGCGAGGCGGGGGGGCTAAGGCCGCGGCAGCAGAGTAAGGGCGAGAGAAGTGTCGCTGGCTCACTCACCTGTAGCCAGCCCTAGCCTGCCAGTCAGTGCGCCGAGAACCAAGCCGGTGCAGGTCGCTCCCCCTGCCCCTCCCGGCTTCGCGTCACTTCCGCCCCCGGAGCCCCGCCCTTCAGAAAAAAGAGGGAATACGCGGTGGGCCACGCGCGCCCGCCAGGTCTTGGGACACTGCTTAGCAACTGTTACTACGCGGCACCTTTGTGGCTAGCGCGCGACGCCCTCCACCTCCCCAGGCCTTGTTCTCGAGGCGCTGCTGTGGGCGTGGCCTCGCCTCTATCCCTCCCAGGGGTGGGTCCAGGGCCAAAGCCAGGGCGTTTTCTCCTCTTTCTAGCTACTGCCCCCCTCGACAGGTGGAACTCGGGCTGAGGTCACGGGAAGGGCAACGGGAGGAGGCCGTGGCTCCTGGAAACCAGGCCTGCGACAACAGCAAACATCCAAAGCCGGGGCGGTGGAAAGGACGCTGAGTTTGGAGTCAGAGCACCTGGTCTCCAACGCTTACCACTTTTGTCACTATGGGCAAGTCTCCTCCCTGCTCTGGATCCCAGTTTCCTCCACTGGCCAAGAAGGGGATTGCATGAAATGATTCCCAGGTTGCTTTCCAGCTCAAAAATACCGTGAACAAAGAGTCAGGACACGTTTTCCCACCGTATTGCGAGATACCCAAGGTCTTGGCTCAAGAAAGGGAGAATGATGTAGTGGAAAGAGCGCTGACAGTGGGGTCAGGGGAGCTGCCTTCTCTTTGGCACCTGTGACCTTGGGCTCTCCTTTCCCTTTTCTGGGCCTCAGTTTCCTCTTTGTGAAAAGAGGGGGTTGAAAAGAGCACTGGAACTGGGGGCCAGATGACCTGGGTTCATTTCCAAACTCTTCTCCTTAAATAGGTCTTCCAGCCACGTCCAGCCCTTTATTCACTATGCTGTGGAGCGTTCTGTTCTGTCAAATAATGGTTTGGACTAGATGATGGCTGAACTCCCTTCCAGCCCTTGTTTCTGACTGTAATTCTGTCCTGGTGCTTGGCAAATGGAAAATCAAGGAAATAATCTTCTCCCTCCCTTGATTTTGAGGGTATCCAAGGCTAAAACAAGTAGGATTTTTAAGGATATTGTTGAGGCTGTTTCCCAAAACAGTTCCATGTTATCCCACCCCTGTCCTAGACTATTTTTCTCAGGCCTGGATTAGTGAAATTCAGTCGTTTTTCAGTCGTGTCTGACTTCTTGTGACCCCATTTGGGGTTTTCTTGGCATAGATATTGGAGTGGTTTGTCATTTCCTTCTCCAGCTCATTTTGCAAATGAGGAAACTGAGACAAACAGGGTTAAGTGACTAGCCCAGGATCACATTTGAAACTCAGGAAGATGAGTCTTCCTGACTTCAGGCCTGGTGCTTTATCTGTTGCACCACCTAGCTACTCTAATTAGTGAAATAGTCTTTTAAAACTAACATTTTCCAGTTTTTCTCCCCATTCTAATCTATCCTGCACACAAAGAGCAGGATAATTTACCTAAGAATTATGTTTTAACTGCTTTTCTGTAACATTTGTAGCTCTCAAACACACACCCTTGGATGGACTGGCAAATGAAGTGCATTCACAGAAGGCTCACTGGGTTCTATAGGAATTACTATATTTTAGGCTTATCCTTTTTTACTCAGAATTGAACCACTCTGATGCAGAAGATATCAAGAACAGCCACAGTATGCAAGATGCCTTTGGGTTTGGGGGAAGGGTAAGTATAGACATAAATCATTTGGCAGTTCGACTGCCTTTCTACTTCATCAGCATACAGAAATACCTAAAGCAAGGAAAGATTTCCCAGAATACCCATGCAGCTATACTTGTACTGCAGCTCCCCACTGCACAAAAGGCGTATTTGGGTCAGTCTCTCTGCTGCAAAACCATTTCTGCCCGAAGGCAATAGGATTGTGCGCAGCATTCAATCTGTGATGTGTGGCTCAAAGGCCCCTCAAAGACCAGGTTCAATCCTGATATTGAGTCAGTAAATTAAGGCTACTCACTGCAATATTGTTTTATGTGGGCTCTTACAGTTTAGTTAACAGCAGACTTCTCCAAATGAGAGATTATAAGTAACTCAGTGTTTGCATTTGGGTAGAGGAAAGGGAGGAAACTCATATGTAAGACTTTATGTGTCCATAGGTCATCTGTTGGAGAATGTTCTTTTGGGATTCTGTGTTTCTCGAAATCCAGAGGTGGGGGCAGGAAAGCAGCATCTTCCTTTAAAATTGCTTCCCAGTTTTCCCTTTTTGTACAACAAAAGTTCCATCTTTGAGGTTTTTAGGATGCACTCTCTTAGAGGTTGAGGGGCCTAGGGTGGTGATTGGTAGGGGGACCAAGGTATTATCTATTACGTCTGCTTCTAGGTCTGTGCTTGGGAGCTATGACCACAGTAATTGGTAGAGGCAATTAGATATATGGGAATGTTTCCCAGTCTGTTTCAGGTTAGTTACAAGGGAGATGTGGAAGATTATTTCTATAATCCCAGGTTCTGTGGTGGAGGTTGGGACCAGATGGACATTTATCTGTGAAGTTATATTTGTTTCCCAAACAGGAGATTGATTTTAGAGGCAAAAACAAAAGAAATGAGAATCAATAAAAACTACATTAAGTTAATCTCCAGTTTTCCCAGCAATTTTTTGTCAAATAAAGTGTTTTTTTTTCCTAGGACATTTGTGTTGGGGTTTATCAAATGTAAAGATAGATAGATAGATAGATAGATATGTGTGTGTGTGTATATATATGTGTGTGTGTGTATATATATATATATATATATATATATATATAAGATTGTGGCCAATTAGGCTTTTTTATTAATTAATTTATTTTTAGTTTTCAACAATCACTTCCATACATTTATGAGTTTTAATTTTTCTTTGCCTCCCTCCCCAAGACAGTGTGCAATCTGATATGGGCTCTACATGTACATTCCTGTTAAACATATCTTCACATTAGTCATGTTGTAAGGAAGAATTAGAACCAATAGGAGGAACCACAAAAAAAGAGGAAACAAAACAGAAGGGAAAAAAAAGAGCAAATAGTATGCTTCGATCACATTCAAACTCCATAGTTCTTTCTCTGGATGTGGATAGCATTTTCCATCATGAGACTTTTGGAGATGTCTTAGACCCTTGCATTGCTGAGAAGGGCTAAGTCTATCAAAGTTAGTCATTGCACAAGGAGGCTGTTGTGTACAACATTCTCCTGGTTCTGTTCACTTCACTCAACATCATTCCATACAAGTCTTTACAAGTTTTTCTGAAGTCGGCCTGCTCATCATTTCTTATAGCACAATAATATTCCATTGCATTCATATACCACGACTTGTTCAGCCATTCTCCAACTGATGGGCATCCCCTCAATTTCTAATTCTTTGCCACCACAAAAAGAGCTGCTATAAATATTTTTGTACATGTGGGTCCTTTTCCCATTTTTATGATCTCTCTGGGATACAGCCCTAGAAGTGCTATTGCTGGGTCAAAGGGTATGCACATTTTTATAGCCCTTTGGGCATAGTTCCAAATTGCTCTCCAAAATGGTTGGATCAGTTCATAACTCCACCAACATTGCATTAGTGTTATCAAATATATTTTTAATTCTTCCTTGTCTAGGGTTTTATTTATCTACTTTTTCATTTTTAAACTAGTACTAAACAGTTCAAAGATTACTCCATTATAAAATAGTTTGAGGGCTAAAAGTGCTACTGAAACTTCATTTCAATTTTTTTCTTTTTAAAATAAGTTGTATAGATGTTATTTGTTTTGACATCACCATAATTTCCCCCTGTAGTTCTCCTCTCACTTTTAGAGTCATCCCATTTAACAAATATTTTAAAAGACAAAAATAAAAAATAAAAAGACAAGGAAATCAGTATAACCATCAGTACCTCAAAAAAGCCTGAAAATAAGTACAGTGTACCATACTACTGGACCTCCCACCTCTGCAAAGCAGTGAAGTGGAGGTATCTTCTCATCTTATTCTGTATAATTTTTCATGTGGATATTTTTTGTGGATATGCTTTCCATTTACATTGTTGTTGTCACTGTGTATGTTGTTTCCTTGGTTCGGCTTCCTTCCATCCTCATCAGTTCATTTAGATCTTTCTATCTTCTCTGTATTTATCATATTCATTATTTCTTACAGCATGGTAATACTGTATTCCATTACATTCAAAACTCCAGTTTGTTTAGCCATTTTCCAGTCACTGGCATCTATTTTGTTTCCACTCCTTTGCTCTCACAAAAAGTGCTGCTTTAAATATTCTGTATATTGGGACTTTCTTGGGCCTTCTTGGGGTATTATATCATTTTAGTCACTTTAATTGCATAATTCCAAATTGTTTTCCAAAATGGTAGGACATATTCCTAGTTCCACAAACAATGCATCAGTGCACATATCTTCCCACAACCCTTCCAGCATTTACTATTCCCATTTTCTGACCTCTTTGCCAATTTGCAAGGTGTGAGGTGAAACTTCTGGGTTGTTTTGATTTGTATTTATTTTATTATTAGTGATTTAGACAGAACACTACTAGATCCAAATGTGAATAATACTACCCTGAAGTAATTGTATTATTTGAATTTGCACTGCATATTTCCATTAGGCTTGAATTAATTACCATAACTAACTTAAAATAGTGCTAATAGAAGCTATTTCAGGGTATTCATTATTCACATTAATCAGGATCTAGCTGTATACTCTCATATGGCTTTTGTGAGTACTGCCTGTTCATATCCTTTGGCCTCTTATCTATTTGGGAATGGCTTTTGTTCTTTTGTGTATATAAACACACATACATGTGTACATATCCATATGTATGCATGTTTATGTATATATGTATATTCATTTTTATATAGCTTGGACATCAAACTCTTATCAGAGAAAAAAGAACCTTACAGAAATGATAAATAAAATGAAAAGCTGATTTTCTGAAAAGACCAATAAAACTGATAAACTTTTAGTCATTTTGGTTAGAACATTCATTTATGCTAAAAGCAAATAAACAAAACCCCTCCAAAGTACAGGCATAGAGGGGCTTTTTCTAATATCATAAAAAGTACCTACCTAAAGC